AGACAGGGGAGAAAAAGTACAACGAAAAGCTTGTGGGTCGAGATAAGGACAGGGAGAGATCACTCACTAATTATCGTCACAAGCAAAACAGACTGAACTTAGAGAGGGAATTCATCTAATTTATTACCAAGCAAAACAGAGTAGAGGGATGAGAAATAAAATCAAATCTTAAAACACCTCCCCCCACCCCTCCCATCTTCCTGGGCTCAACTTCACTCCCGGCTTCAACCTCCGCCCCCCCCAGTGGCACAGGGGGACGGGGAGTGGGGGTTACGGTCAGTTCATCACAAGTTGTTTCTGCTGCTTCTTCCTCCTCAGGGGGAGGACTCCTCTCATCATTCCCCTGCTCCAGCATGGGAACAGCTTCTCACAGAAGCCATCCCTGCAGACCCCCTCCGCTACCAAAACCTTGCCATGCAAACCCAACACATATGCAAACCCATTACCTTAGTACATCACAATTTTAGTCAAAACTAAAACATCTTAAAACACAATGTGCAAGTTAACGAAAAAAAAAAAAATCTTAGTGTCAGGTATCCAAAACCTGGTCTATCAAACATTTCACCTAATTCACTCCCTACCACCATTTTTAAAATCCCATATGCCCATAGTGCCACAATCATACAGCAATCTCAGAGCTCATTTTATGACAGAAGTTCATATATTCCATGAAAGGGTATATATGTATTTTAAACAGGCAAGGAGCAATTAGAACTTTAAAGCCAATGTCAGGTTGTCTTGTCACCTAACAAGAAAAAAAAAGCTTGGATACTACTATCTTGGTGCACACTAAAAACTACAATACAACAATTCTTCACCAACAGAATTATAGGTAGTCAAATACAATAACTCCCATTTTGCTATAAAGTTGAGTTCTTGTTATGCTACTTTTAAAACAGACTATGGCAATGCAATCTTCTAAATGGAATCATTTAGAAGGGAAATTATTTTGCTACAGTTATCTGTCTCCAATAAAAGAAAAACTGGTCTAAAAGAAGAGAATTACACCAGAGAATGGTTTTAAGTATTGAGGGACGTGCACTGGAAGTAAAGCACTTGATTCTTATTACCTCAGGATACAAGAACTTGAGTAATGATTTAAACATATACTTTTATATTTATGTCAGAAATAGGAATAAAGGGTTTTCCAAATGAAACAAATATCAACCATTTATAGCTTGGAGTCAGAGCTGATTTGTCTTGTATTGCTACCTACTGTACTGTAAAAAAAAAGGCTTAATGCAAAACCATTAAAAGTAACCGAAGCCCACTCACATAAAATTATAGTAAGTTAAAAGTTTACTTACTTCTTCTTTTTTAATGTGTTTTACACTCATAAAACACTGAAGCAACAAGTCTTTGACTTCATTACTCTCCTCTGAATCATAATCAAAACAAAGTAACGTCTGATGTAGATTCCATAGACGAATTATATCTGCGCCCTGACAGGAAAAAAAAACCAAAACCGACCACATTATAGTGAAGTAGGTATAGCTTTAACATGAAGAAGTATTTAAAGGATTTTAAATAATGGATTTGAAATGCATTGTTACAGGTAGAAGATTTTCAGATTGTAAAATTACAAAAATTAATTGACTTTCACTACATGATTGGGAAAAATAAAAAAAATATGTGTAACTAAAAATATTGACTTCCCACAACTGAAGACATGCTCAAGTACAGAAAGAAAGCTTTCATGCAAAATAGATGAAAAGTATATTTTCCACTTTTGAAACTTTATACAATGAAATTTTATACAATACAATATATTTAACAGGGAAAAATAAAACTAAGAAATAAGTAAAGGAGATATTTATTGGGTTAGTGCAAAAGATGTATGCCACAATACTCTTAAGTAACTCACACATTTAAAAAAAAGAATTTCAGTCTTAATAGAGAAATTATTTGTAGAGAGATACAGAGTAACAGAAAAAGAAGCTTCTCACATAAGAAGTCTCAATGAGTAGCTGAACATACTACTTAAAACCTGAATTAATTAAAAGCATTAATTGCTATTTAAACCTTAGTCACTGCACTTTACAAATGAGTGAAGAAATAAAAAAGAACATAAAAAGAAAGAATGTAAAAAAAGGATGTAAAAAAAACCCCAACAACCCAGTTCACTTCTGAAATTGATGCCAAAAATCTTTGTTTGTTCTGGAGAAGGCAACATTTTAATATGTTGCTTATGGAAGCAACACCAAAAAGACACTTTGTAACCAATATGTATCCTAGTTTTCATTAATTGAGAAGTGCTAAAACACAGAAAACAAGTTAACTTGAAATAAAAGGTATTTTGGAGGGATAATCTTTCTTGGAATATTCCATAGTAACCTAAAAGTCAATATAGCTTCAGCATACCAGAGCAGCTTTATTCAGGCTTTTTCTTAGCAGAATGATAAACAGAGTCTTCCCTAGCTGCTCCTTCCCTTCCAGTCCTTTCTCCCACCACATTTCACATACATGCTGGATAGCACCCTGTAGGATTTTTTCAGATTCAGGTAATGCAGGAAGAATACCTACAACAGTAATAAAGTAATTATTTACTGCAAGGAACCAAGTTATTCCTGTAAAACACCAGCCTATTAGTACAGTAACTATACCTCACACAATGTCTTGCCACATTTACAGATCTTAATGCCTCATTTTCACCACCAGTATTTAGGCAACTTTGTTAACTCTAAGATTTTGGCCAAGTTTTTGGATCAGTAGCAATGAACAAAAGTTAACAATGATCTTAAGTTTTGCCTTAAAAATACTGTAAGCCAAAGAATAAGGAAAGTTATCTATCATTGGGTGAACACTTGGAAGACAGAAAACTATTTAAGTTCCAACTTTTAGACTGTATACCTGATTTTTAAGTAAACGCTCCCTTAATTTTGTCTTTATAAATAAGAACTCGCATCAGTACCAACTTTTTTCCCATAAATTCTGTTCCATAGGCCAGTCAGGTCAAGCAAAAGCCTAGTATACTCATCCACTAAAAAAACCCCCCAGTATAATGCCGTATTCCAATATGGATAAGTACGCACCATTTAATATAAAAGCACATTCTAGAAGAGCTTTGTAGTTTGCAGTTTCATCCACTACAGGTATGGAAGCAGTAACTACAGCTGTCACTCCTTGGATCACAGCTACAGTTTGTTTCTGAAAGAAAGCAATGTTGAAGAAACAATTTTGCAGTTTGTTTTATACTCAGAAGATAATTATGACAAGAAATAAACCTTAGCAACAGAGAGCAAAGCTGAATTGTTATTTTGATTCCATTTTGAACAAAGAGTATAGCGGCACCCAAAACCTATCAAATAAGAAGGGGCAAAAGCATAGATTCTAAAGTACATACATTTCAAAAGTTTGAAAATGTCTTTCAGCTCCAGCTAGTAAGTGACTCTGTGACTGTACATGTCTATCCATTCCTCCATTAAAAACTTCACCTGCAACAAAACCACTCAAACACACATTCATTTCAGAACTAAAAAGACCTCAACTAGCAGGGTCTTGTGCAACCCAAAACCACATAGATCTGGTGACTTTAGATCCAGGTACATGATTCTATAGGCCTCTCTACATACGATAGATTTTCTACAAGCCTTTAGATCTCCCTAATGATTTTCCCACTGCATTTTTTTCTTCCAAAATTAAACAACCATTTCTCCCAATATTCTCAAGACTACACAGACTTCAGTGCAGAAGGTAGCATATGAGGGTCTGAGTCAGAAATTCTGTAGAAGAATTTGTGGGAGGGGCATTCAATTCTAGATTTCATGATCTTCATTCAATAAAATGACATAATGAAACAAGTAGTGATTTTCTTATAGTATATGTCAGATACTTACGGAACATCTGAGAGATCAACATTTGTTTACTATAATAAGACATACAAAAAGCCCACTCAAGTCTAGTGAAAAGTCCCATCTTTCATAATTAAAATTATCAGCAGATCTAATCTTTTATAGTATAGACCAATCATAAATTCAGCTCAACCCAAGCATGATAGTTAAGAAGTCAGTTAAGAATGGGGCAGGGAGATGATGTTTGGAACCAACCTTGTTTGATAACCCTTGCATGTTTTCAGTTGCTATGAAAATATTTAATTTTATTTCTCAGAAAATATGAAATATACATCATATTTTTATTTTAAAAGATTTTTACCATTTCTGGAACTATCTCAACTTCCATGTCATCATTACTTTCATCATCCTCAATCCTCTGCCATGCTTCCACAGGGTTCTCCATCAAAGTCTCTGTCAATAGCTGTGTCAGCCTCTCCCATAGTATTTCTTTTTGCTTTCTTGGCAATTCTTGAAGTAGTTCATTCAAGTCAAAAGGACTAAATGTATTTTTCTGTGAATGGTCAGAAGATATCACACAATTCCACATCAGTGAAGTGGCTTATATTTCATCATCATATTTCCTAAAATTAATGCTTTTTTTACATTAAGGATTAATTTCCATTCCTCTGCAGTTATAGAACATTCTAGAAGTTATATTTCTTTAAAACAATAGCACGAGAAATTCCTGTGGCCTAACTCTTTACTGTGAAACAAGAGTGCTTCTTTTTAGACTAAAGTCTTTAGCCCTTGATAGCAACACTACTGAACATAAATCATGTCCCCATAACATCAACTTCCATCTCTCACATGTTCTAAATACTTCGTTCCTAAAGGAGACAATTTCATACCCTTAGCTGGGAAGTTCACGAGCACACAGAATTGAAGTCCCCAATCATATCTTTCCCATCTTAAATATAGATTGATGATGGCTGTAGAAAGAAAACCCTTATGCAAGGACTAGAAACATAACAGTCAGTATAGCCTTAGGGACAGAACTACAGATTTTGGAGTACAATCTGCATAGAGCAGTGCTCTGCATACCACACTATTTTAAATGCCCCCCATCAAACCTAACTCCTGAGCACGTTAACCCCATACTTCTCTCCTTGGCTCTACTGAATGGGAAGCCACTATTAGTCCTTACAGAGACTTCACTAAGAGACTGATGTGAACTAGTTTCTCAGAAGAACCTTGCTGGAAGGCTTTACTTCAGAAATGCAAAGGGTCTGTTAGCATCAAGGAAGGGTAGGCAACATGCTATGAAAGGCAATACGCAGAGAAAAAATGAGAAGAAAAAACAGACACAGCCAAGAAGTACAGATCATTTTTGAGATGTAATTTGCAATACTGAAGTGAAGGTTTACCAGATCAAAAACACTTTGGAGGAAAGAGGGAGAATGTCCATGATCTTGAAATAAAAATATTTTTAGTTTGCAGATACACTATAAAACAGGAATCAAAAAGGAAAAAAAAAGTTGAAAGGAAATAGAGAAATAGAAAATAATGAAAGAAGCAGCAGTAAGTATTAGAAGGTTCCCAGAAGGGTACAAGAAGATAGATCTTGTTACATATTTATAGCAGAAATTCTATCCTATTCTACAGCTGGAAACAAATACAATAAACCCAAGGCCACAGGAGGAGTTCTGCAGCCCTCTAATTCAAACAAACCCAAAAGACAGGATATTAAGATTGTACTATTCTGAACAAGAAGAGTGAATTCATAATAAGACCAGAGCTTTCTGGTCTTTCTTTGGTATGATATGAGATAGAACTATTCCAAAACCTATGAGGAAAAAGGATGTCATTGAATGATTGTCATATCTGTGATTCCTTTTTTCCTGTTCAAGAAATAATGTATTTTCTTGAATTGGAACAGGATTTAGTGGAAAAATTTAACAGCACCTGATAAAGACTTCAATGAACAGCACCACAATATGGTAATATTTTAAAAAGATTACAAAGAAAGAAAAGTGAAAAGCCGCAGGCAAACCTTGAAGGAAAATTAGCAAACCCCTGGAATTTTAGTAGATGTGAATGAAACAAAACATTGAGAGGAGGGAAAAGGAAAATTAAAGGAGGGTGGGGTGTGTAGAAATGAGAGACATTGAAAGAAGTAGTGATGATAAAAACAGAACTCAAAAAAAGAGTTTAAAAGGCAAATTCTTAGACTAAGGTATAAAATAGGTAGAAAAAGCAGGGCACAGTTATAATATGAAAACTAAGGAAAGCAGTGAGGCTCTAATCATGCTTTCCTCTTCTTTCTACATTTATACATCCAGTTCTAAAGGACAGAATACACTACCACAGCTTCCTCCAGAAAAGCAGTCAAGAATTATTCAAGGGAGATCCCAACATGAGGATCCTTATCCTAAGATAAGATGGTCAAACACCCTCCACCACTGAAGGTTTCAAAATGAAATTAATAACTCAGGTCTCAGACAATCAAAAAGTAATCAGGATATTCATGTCCTCTTATGCTATGAAAGTATGAAGACAGTTTTAATCAATATACTCATTATAGGCGGTGATACACAGTTTCCAGAGATATTGGCAACAGTTGAAAACTGTTGCCACTCAACTCTTGTGAATTGGTGATGAAAAATAAAAGGACGAAAAAACAATTTTTAGTCCAAATAGACCAAGACATGTTAAGATAGATTACTGCATGAAGATGGCAGAAAAAACATGACCAAATTAATCTAAAAGGAAACACTGCAAGTACTGTATGTTATCCTAGTTGCTTGTTAAAGTGTTTAGATTTGGGGAAAAAAGGGAAGGAAACTTCAAAAGGCAATCCGTTAATAGAGTTGTCATCTATAATTACATACAGGAGTGCAAATGAAAAAACTAGCAAATTTCTTGGAAAAAGAGATTCAATGATGTTTGAGACACAAACATTTCTAAACTTATTACATAGAACACAAACTCTATCACAAAAATCATACGTTTAATACATCTGCTACATCAGTTAATTAGCTCATGCAGGTAATAGCAGGAAAATACTGATTAGAAAGCTTAAGATACTAACCTGACAATATCATTTATTAAAACTAGCAAAAGACATTGAGGAGAAATTGTGTATATTTTAATACCAGACAAATTGAAGCTTAGTGGAAAACACCACAATGCAAATTATTACTTCTGATTACTATGCAATATCCTATACACAACATGAGAATGAACTTTTAATTAGTAGATTTCAGTGGATTTGTTTTGTTGTTCCTCCCGCTTTTAGGGAAATGATTGTCCCCCTGTACTCGGCACTGGTGAGGCCGCACCTTGAGTACTGTGTTCCATTTGGGTCCTCTCACTACAAAAAGGACGTTGAGGTGCTGGAACATGTCCCAAGAAGGGCAACGAAACTGGTGAAGAGTGGAGAGCACAAGTCTGATGAGGAGCAGCTGAGGGAACTGGGGTTGGTTAACCTGGAGAAAAGGAGGCTGAGGGGAGACCTTATCAGTCTCTACAACCACCTGAAAGGAGGTTGTAGCCAGGTGGGTGTTGGTCTCTTCTCCCAAGTAACAAGCAGTAGGACAAGAGGAAATGGCCTCAAGTTCTGCCAGAGGAGGTTTAGATTGGACGTTAGGAAAAATTTCTTCAGCAAAAGGGTTAAGCACTGGAACAGGCTGCCCAGGGAAGTCGTTGAATCACCATCCCTAGAGGTATTTAAAAGGCTTCTATGTGGTGCTTAGGCACGTGGTTTAGTGGTGGACTTGGCAGTGTTAGGTTAATGGTTGGACTTGATGATCTTGAAGGTCTTTTCCCATCTAAACAATACTATGATTCTAATTACACATAGACTAAATAATAAGTGGACAACCTAAACCATCAAATGAACAAATACTGGCGAAACATGTCTCTGCTATGTTTGTATATTAGCTCACATTCATTACACAGCAATAAACTCTTTCGTAAGTTAAAACTTAAAAAAAAATGCTTCATCAACATCAAATGAGTACTTTTTTTTTTTTAAGTGTTACCACGGCACTAAACAGTCATTTTTAAAAAAATGTAAACTGTATATGCAACAACCAAGTGTTACAAAATTATTTTGTTTATAAATAGGAAAATTTCAGATTTTACAACCTTTCCAGCTGTGTTCCACTAAGTGCCACTTGACCTTATTTTCTACAACAATTATCCTATCACATGTGCAGGTATCAGAGAAATAGCTTCTGTCCCTGTGTTACAAAATTCTGCACTGATAACAAACTAAAGATATTGTTAGTCATGCAGGTGTATCATGGCTTACTTACAGGATTCTGAGTATAACGCAAGAAGTCTTCAATTGACTCCTTAGACACAACTTGTAGAAATGCTTCACGTTTCATTGTGGTCTTGTTTTTCCTTGCTTTATAAACAAAACAAAGCATTAAAGTACTGTATCTCAAAATAAGATCATTTTTAGCCTAGAACATATGAACTTGCATTCTTCATCTACACAATTACACATAAAAGATGTTTCCTCCTCCAAAATACTTTACAGTTATCTGAATCAGCATTTAGATTCATAACAGCATGAGGCTGCAGTATTTGCATGCTTTCTTCTTAGCTCTTTTTTTTAACTAAACAAGTCTTAAACCAGAAGTTTTTAATGGATACTTCTATTTTGAAAAAGAACTTTAAAAAAGTACATCCAGCACATACGCCCTATTTAGCTAGCCATCATTCCCAACGAGAGCATTTACTTAAATGAAAAGTACTGACGGGCAGTAAAATATTCTCTCATTTTCTCTCTTGTCAAGCGAAGACTGGGAAAATGGCAAGGCCACTTTTTGACACCAAGAGCTTAATTTACGCACCTAAGCATTCCTTCCACCTTAGGTGATCCCCGACGTACTTTACCCATCCCTACCAGTTGGGAGACTGCCTTACATCGCCTTTACCGTGCGTGAAGCCCTAGCACGGAACGGGGCGGGTGCCGAGCCAGGAACAGTCCCG